AAGCTTTCGTGGGTAAAAACCTCACTTCTTTAGATGTATCCCACGAAAGCTTATGCCCAAATAAATCCGTTAGTCTTTAAGGTGCCACCAGACTCCTTATTGTTTTAACTAAATATATTGAATGTTTTAACTCTTTCACTAAAAGTAATGTTTTCTAATCCTTTAATCATTCTGTGGCTGTTTGCTGAACACTCCAATTTATCAACATGATGCATACAAGAGGAATCCCATTGGTACTAGTGTGTGTTTTTGTGAATCTTTTCTGCAGGAACCAGTGTCCTGGGAAAAGCAATCTGCCTTAGTCTAGGACATCTGGTACTTTCATTTTTTAAATCACTTTAAAGTTAATCACTTTATTTACAATATTTTTCTTTTTAGTGTTAAGCCTGGATGTCAGTATTAAATCTCCTGCACTCCTGTAGTTTACCAGCCCACTCTGTCTGTGCACTGTTTCCCAACTCAGCTAAATATTGAATGTTGAACTTTCTGCCCTCATTTCTAAGTTGCACTCATACTGTCAAACTCTACAAAGGGAATAATCTTGCCAATAGCGGTTCAATTTTACAGAAATGATTACTAGGACTTAAAAAATAACTTACATTCACTAATGCTCTCTAGAGAAGGAAGGAAGTAATCATCACACACAATGGATACAGCCATAAACATATAAAGGATAATTATGAAATAGATAATGATCCCCCCATCTTCTCTCTCCTGTTGTGTAAAAAATGCGTCAGGAAATTCCGATGAGGGAGGGGGGATGCATTGTGTTTTATTTTCTGAAAAGAGAATACAAAGGTCTTATGCAGATTATCAAACATTGTCTTCTTCCCCCAGCTACAAAACTTTTGAGGATGTTTTCAAGGGAATTTTGGGTAGGTGGAACATATGAACCTATTTTAAATGATTAGTTCTTAATTGTTGGAAGCCCCCAGACAGAGAACTGTTGCAATACACATAAGGGGATAGGGATATTGCCAATGTTTCATTCCTGCACATAGGATGACCAGCTGTCCTGATTTTATAGGGACTCCCAATTTTGGGGTCTTTTTCTTATATAGGCTCCTATTACCCCCTCACCCCTGTCCCGATTTTTCACATTTGCTATGTGGTCACCCTACCTGCACACAACACTGTCAAACGTACACCAAGGAAAGCCAGCAACCCAAACTTGTTTCCAACCCTTTACCTAATGAGCCTTTGACACACACCCCTTTATAGAGCAACCAATGTTAAGGTATCCTGCGGTTTCCAGTACAACTCTGTTTGACCTCCAGTTAAGACTTCAGAAAGGCAAAAATACTGGGGTGGGTGCCATGTATGGCCGCAGAAGGTTTGCTTAAACTTAGACATTTTCCAGTCAGCTACAGGTCATGCTCGAGTTATCCTGGCAAAAGAAATAAAGGGTTCTCTTCCAACCGCCGGGGAGGAAAACAGCCAGCGAAGGAAAGGGAGAAAACTCAGGACCATACTGAAATAGTTGAACACATTTGCCTTTCTTAGCAACTACGCTAGTGTGACAAGAAAGGTCCCAGCTCTTTCCAACGCTTCCCCCTGGGCACTGTGTGCATCTCGGCTTGATTAGCTGAAAAGCCCCAGTAAACCGAGCGGCCCATGCGATGGCTAGTCCTGTAGCTACTGCGCTTTTCCCACCCACGCTCCATCCCCGAGCCCCTTTCCGGCGGGGTCCCCTGGCGCACGGGGCGGGGGTTTGGAGCGGAGCCGCTCCCGAGGTGTGAACGCAGCCGGCTGACACTCCGCGCCCCCGGCCTACCTGTGTCCCTGGGGAGCCGCTGGGCGGCAGCGCCCCTGCGAGGCAGGTGAAAGGCGGCCAGAGCCCCCAGGAGCAGCAGGACGGAGGCTGCCCGGCCGCCTCTTGCACGGTTCCTCCAGCCTCCCTGCATCGCGCCGGCCTCAGCCTCGCACTGAGCGGCGGGGGGAGGCGTAAAGGGGATTAGGGGCCGGCGGGATCATGTGAGGGGGCGGTTTTGGCCGCTTCCCCCGGGCGCGCAGCGGCGAGGAGGCAGGGGGTGGGGTGGGGAGCTCGCCTCCTGCTGCAGCCCAGGCCCGATGCCGCCAGACCCGGGCTCGTTCTCCCGTCGGCTGGCGCCCCGGATCCCGGGCTGCCTGTCCTGGGCCGAACGGGGGACGCACCACGCTGGGGTACTGCTGGCAGGTGGGGCTGAGTTTCGGGCCCTCACTAGTCCCGCGGGGCGGCTGCTCCCCTGCACCCCGGTTCGGTTACGAGCCAGGCCTCGGGCTGGAGTCCCCTTAGCCGAGGCTACCACTGCCAGGGGTAGATACAAACCATAGCTAGGGCTCCCTCCCCCCGCTTCTCCCAGGAATTGCCCCCAGAGGCGCAGGGCCTAGCTTGCCCACTGAAGGGCGCCAGGCATCAAGTGCAGCACACAAACAGCCCTGAAGTTCTGGGGGAGGCCCGGATCTCGCAATGGGTTCTGGGCCCCTGTGCTCAGGCACAGACAAAAGTCTGTCCCGTTGCAGACTGGAGGCTTTAGCTATTATTACTAACTTTCCCTTAGTTTCTGCAACTGTGGAAAAAGCATGTGACATGTTGGCCACCACCCAACTTGGAAGCTGGTGAGACTGTGCAAATGTTGGGATGGGAAGGAGATTTAATGTAGGCTGCTCTCATACCAATATGACTATCTTCCTTGCACCACTCTACAGCCTCAGCTTAGTCCTATTGGGCTGTGACCGAGTTCCCACGCGGGGTGATGCCAATACCAAATTTATGGGGGAAGAAGACTTCCATACCCGTCAGATGAATTATTCAGCAAGAGTCACAGTGAGACCAAGCACACAGGCCCCTGCTTCAGAGCCTGCAACCCAAACTTGTTTCCATCCCTTTGTCTAATGACCTTTCAACATTGAAGTCAGGTGTGTAATTGAAGATTAAATACAAAGCTTTCTTGCTTAAAAATGTATTTTAATAGGTCCCACAAAACTCTTGGCTACTCCGAAGGAAAAGCTGAATTAGGTTTCTATCAAATCAATTTCTAAACTTAGTGTCCATAAATGTTTACTGTCCAATTATGTGAAATGACATTGTAAAGTGCCAATATTGTAACTGGCCATTTCTTAGGAGCAGGGCTAATGCTCACTCACATTTAGATATTTGGGCTTATTTCTCTTGCAAATTGAAAAACATTATTTTTGCTTCATTGCATCCTAATCCTTTAAGTGTATTGCTCCTTATTCCCATGCTGTTTTAGCTAATGCATGATCGACCACCGTATAGTATGAATAAGATGTGATGGGGTTTAGTAACTCCACTGCAAAAGTGTGGCAGGGTTATTTTTTTTCCTTTTATAATAAAAGAGATTGTGTCTACAAAACATCATTAGGACAGGGTAGAGACTGGCAATTAAAAAAAACTATTCTGAACCTGCCCAGTCATCCATAATAACTATATCAATCTCCAGCACCTCTTTATCTCAATATTAAAAACAGTGTGATTGTTCTCTCCCAGAATAGTATAAGTTATAAGGGCCAAGGTTTCAAAAGTGGCTTGTGAGATTGGGTGCTTAACCTGAGACATTTTAAAGGGTGGGTGCTCAGTGTCTTCTGAAAATCAGCCACTCTAAGGTGTGTCAAGTTGGGAACCCAAGATTACTAGCTACTTTTGAAAATCTTGGTAAAAGCTTTACATTGTTTCTCTGACATAAAGAGAGAAAACCAGGGGGTGGAGATGGAAATCATCTTGGCCCGGATAGATTTATCTATAAGGAAAGTTAAATCCATATTCTTCTGATTCCTGTTTTTCACTATGGGTGCATTTTTACTAGAGACAAACAGAGGAGGACTTTGTGGAACTGGAACTCTTTCTAGTCACTGTTTAAATTATCTAATTTCCTGCTTCCTCTATGTAGGTCAATAAAGGGGGTCTTCCTACACAAGGTCTCTAGCACTATCCCCTGGATCTCTTCCATAAAGGTAAGCTGATTGCTCACCCATTACACAATGAATACTGTAATACAGCTTTCTAGTATCCAGTGTGTTTAAAGAGGATCTTTTCAATTCCATTTTTTTATGGTATCTGTCTTTTATTGGTTGAAATGACATTTGCAGCTCTGATTGAAATGTGTGCTCTAACTGGAACAGAACAGCAATTCTTCTTAGAGCGATTGCTCATATCGATTCCAATTAGGTGAGTGCGTGCCGTGTGCATAGTCGTTGGAAAGTTTTTCCCCTAGCAGCACCTGTCGGGTTGGCTGTGTAGCTCCCTGGAATGGCGTCTCCATAGTGCTCTATATATGACCCTGCCAACCCGGTGCCACCTCAATTCCTTCTTGCCACCAGTGACAGTTGTTGGAACTGTGGCGTCTTGCTCAGCAAGCTCTCCATGTTTCCCTAGCTTCTATCTATGTTAGTGTTTGTCTTCCATAGTAAGTTTAGTTAGTTATTAGTTAGTGTAGTGTTAATAGTTCGCTGTTGGGGGAGATGGGGGGTTCCCCTCCAACCTGACTGTGTTCTTCCTGGGGACTCAGGGCATGCCTAAGTCCTACAGGTTCAAACCCTGCAAGTCCGGCAACAAGCCTATGCCAACGGGTGACTCCCACGATGATTGCTTAAAGTGTCTGGGGGAAATGCATCAGGCGGATAAGTGCAGGATTTGCAACGGGTTTCGCCCGAGAACGAAAAAGGAGTGGGACTTTTGACTGAAGCAGTTCCTTATGGAGGCGGCATTTAGACCGCAATCAGCATCGGCGCAGCAGGACCCAGGACCGAGTGCATTGGTGTGTAGTGCCCTGGCAGTGGTAACGGAGACAGCACCACGGAAGGAATCTGGACGAGACCTGCGGCACCGCCGCTCTCCAGTGCAGAAACAGTCGGAGACGACTTGGCACCGTTCCCATTCCCTGGGGCGGAAGTGGCACTGGAAAAAAGGTACTGGAAATCTCGACTTCAGGTCCCACTCCCTCCGAACCGGCCAATGGGTGCATCCCAGGGAGGAGCCCACAGTGCCGAAAACTTTGAAGCCGGCACCATTGACTTTGGTCCCGCAAGTAGGGCCGTTGAGTCTGGTGCAATTGGACTCATGTTGTCAGGTAATGGAGGAGGTGCAACTGCCTTCCATCCCAGACACATTTGAGGCTGAGAGACACCTCATAGATATGACGGCACTGCGGTCCCTGGCACTTCGCGCCAAGCCTCCGATACCACAGCGTTCGGCACCGTCCCGTGGAAAACCGGCAATGCTCCACCCCTTGGTGCTACCACCAGAGGCAAGATTCTACTTAGAGGCCCGGTGCCACTCAGAGTCCCAGTGCCGATCACACTCACGGCACCAGTCGTACTCGCGGCGCCAGTCTGACTTGCGGCACTGATCCAGGTCCCGCCAGCAATTCCGTTGGCAGCGTCGATCACCGTTGCGCAGCAGGTCCCGGTCCTGGCACAGTCCATCTTGGCACCATTCCATGTCTCATCGCGCAGACCCTGCTCGCGGCACCACTCTCCAGCCTCGCGGCATTGCTCCCTGGCCTAACAGCGCTCGGCACTGCCTGGGCTTTCGCGGTCTAGGTCCCTGTCTTCAGGCTCGGAGATGGGGTCTAAATATTCGGAACGGGCCCGATACAAGTTGACACGGAGCAGACCAGACATGGGTGTGGCACCATGGCCCGCACAGTGGCAGGGGCCAGCGCTGTGGCCGTTTTGGACCCCTGGAGTGTACCACCAGGCCCAGGGCACAAAGTCCAAGGATTCCTGTTTGGTGGCGACCGAGACGAGGGTCCCGGATGGAGCGGCCAGTCGTCCCACCCCAAGGGATGCGGAGAAGTTACCAGTCCTACCACCTCCTCCAGAACCCACCCCGGTTCCTGAGCCTGACCCTGGGGTGGCTGACCCTGGATTAGAGGCAGGACACCAGAGGACCAGGACGGTCAGGGGGACCCAGTTCCTACTTAGCCTCCTTGTCTTTCTCCCTGGACGAGGCTGTGGCGGGCACCTCCACCTCCGGGCCTCCCCCATAGATAGCTGTGCCCACCAGGAACTCTTACTTTGGGTGGCACGAAATATGAACCTGCAGGCCGAGGAGGTGCTAGAGTCCAAGGACCCTATGGTGGATATTCTGGCACCGGAGGGACCATGTAGGGTGGCTCTACCACTCATCAAAACTATCCAGGCCAATGCAAAGACCATTTCTCATACCCCGGCCTCCAGCCCTCCCACTGCCAAGGGGGTGGAGAGGAAATATTTTGTACCCTCAAAGAGGTACAAATACCTCTTCGCACACCCACAGCCCTATTCTCTAGTGGTGGCTACAGTGAATGAGAAGGAGAGACAGGGACAGCAAGCCCTAGCACCTAAGTCCAAGGATGCCAAGTACCTGGATTTATTCGGACGCAAAGTTTACTCCACAGAGGGCTTACAACTCAGGATTGCCTATCACAGGCAATCCTGAGTAGATAGAACTTTAACTCCTGGAACTCGATGCTGAAGTTTAAGGAATTGCAGAGTCCAAAGAGGAGTTTGGGGCTATTATTGAGGAGGGCAAGGCAGTGGTAAGGACCTCTTTACAGGCCTCACTGGATGCTGCGTACTCAGCGGCACGCACCTTGTCCTCAGGAATCGCCATGAGGCGTAGCTCATGGCTGCAGGCCTTGGGGCTTCCACCCAAGGCTCAACAAACTATGCAGGACCTGCCTTTCGATGGGGTGGGTCCGTTTGCTGAACAGATGGACTCCAGGCTGCATAGCCTAAAGGATTCCAGGGCTACAATGAAATCTTGGGTATGCACACCCCGGCAACCCAAAGAGCGTCCTTTAAGCCCCAATCACAGAAACAACATTCATATCCTCAGCTGAGGCAGGATCCTACAGACGCAGGGGCAGAAATGGCAGGCGCAAGCCCTCCCACCCTCCGTCTGGACAGGGCCAGGGCCCGACTAAACCTTTGTCAGGCTCAAAGCAGTCATTTTGAAGGTGTGCCCGAGGATGGCGCACCTGTCTTAGCACCAGTTCTTTTCCTGTGTTTTCTGAACCGTCTATCCCATTTCTACTGTGCTTGGTTCCAAATAACATGGGACTGCTGGGTTCTTCGCACGGTAGAAGTGGGATACTCTCTCCAATTCTGGTCCTTCCCTTCCCTCCCACCCCTCTTCCCCTGTCCCTCTTCAGGGACCCCTCTCACGAGCAGCTCCTTATCCAGGAGGTGCAGGCGCTCCTCGCCATAGGAGCAGTGGAGGAGATTCCTCAGGAGCTAAGGGGCAAGGGATTCTACTCCCACTATTTCCTAATCCCCAAGGCAAAGGGGGGTCTCCGACCCATTCTAGACCTGCGAGGACTCAACAAATTCATGGTGAAGCTGAAGTGCCATATGGTCTCCCTGAGCACGATTATCCCTTCCCTGGATTTGGGAGACTGGAATGCCGCCCTCGACATCAGAGACGTACTTTCACATAGCCATTTAGCCTGTGCCAGGTGATTTCTAAGGTTTGTGGTCAACCACAAACACTATTCTCCCATTTGGTCTCTCAACGGCCCCCTGAGTGTTCACCAAGTGCATGTCAGTCGTAGCAGCCTTCCTCCGCAAGAGACAGGTGCAGGTATAGCCCTACCTCGATAACTGGCTGCTCCGGAGGGCGCAGCAGGGAGCAGGTGGAATCTCAGGTTTGGTTCCTCCAATTCACTTTCAAGAGACTGGGCCCCCTCCTCAATGTGAACAAGTCAACCTTGTCTCCTCCGACCCAGAGAATAGAGTTCATCGGAGCGGTGCTGGACTTTGTGCAGGCAAGAGCGTTTTTGCCAGACACACGATTCCAAGCCACGTTGAACATCATTCAAGGCCTCGGGCAATTCCCGACCACTACTGCAAGGAGTTGTCTACGTCTCCTTGGCCACATGGCAGCCTGCACTTATGTGGTCTGTCATGCCAGGCTGAGGCTCAGACTGCTGCAAGCATGGCTTGCGTCAGCCTATCGCCCGGGACACCACAACCTGGACGTAGTCATGACGGTACCAGAACACATACTCGAGTCCCTCCAGTGGTGGCTTGACCCTCGGAGGGTGTGCGAAGGTGTCCACTTCAACAGCCCCCAGCCCTCCTTGTCCCTGGTAACGTACGCGTCAGCTGTGGGTTGGGGCATGCATTTGGGAGATCTAGAAACGCAGGGCCTATGGTCTCAAGACAAGCTCTCCCCTCATATCAACATCAAGGAGCTCAGGGCGGTACATCTAGCATGCCAAACTTTTTGGGCCCGGCTCCAAGGCCAGTGTGTGGCAGTGAGGACGGACAACACCCCTGCCATGTTTTACATCAACAAGCAGGGTGGAGCCTGTTCCTCCCCCCTGTGTCAAGAAGCCCTCAGGCTCTGGGAGTTTTGCCACGCTCTTGGAACTGTCAGTGGTTGCCCCAGTTGCGTTGCCACTCTACCGCGACCTGATCACTCAAGACCACAGTCGCCTGCTCCAACCAGACCTCAAGTCCCTCCAGCTCATGGTTTGGAAGCTTCATCGTTAAACCGCATGTAACTTTTGTGCTCAGAATCTGTAAGGGAAGTCCTACTTGGCAGCAGGAAACCATCCACCAGGGCCACTTATCTAGCTAAGTGGAAAAGGTTCACTTGCTAGTGTGCCCAGCGTCACACACCTCCATTCCAGGTGTCTATACCACTCATCCTAGAGTACCTCCTACACCTAAAACAACAATGCCTGGCAGTATCATCCATCAAGGTACACCTTGCTGGTCTCTCAGCCTTCCACCCAGGTGTGTCTGGATGCTCTGTATTTGCCAGCCGCATGGTGGGATATTTTCTCAAGGGCCTGGAACAGCTACATTCACAGATTAGACAGCCAGTTCCTACGTGGGACCTTAACTTGGTCCTCTCCAAACTAGTAGGGCCACCATTTGAACCACTGGCAACTTGCTTCCCTCTCTATCTATCGTGCAAGGTAGCTTTTCTGGTCGCCATTACCTCAGCAAGGAGGGTGTCTGAGTTAAAGCCATCACCTCTGACCCACCTTACACCCGTCTTCCACAAGGATAAGGTGCATTTTAGGCCTCACCCGGCCTTTCTTCCTAAGGTTGTGTCACTTTTTCATACGAGTCAAGACATATTCCTGCCTGTTTTCTATCCTAAGCCTCATGCCAGTAACCGCGAGCAGATGCTGCACTCTCTGGATGTTCGGCGGGCGCTAGCTTTCTATATCGAACGCACTAAGCCATTTAGAAAGTTGAACCAGCTATTCGTAGCAGTGGCAGACTGGATGAAAGGACTCCTGGTATCATCACAAAGAATAGCTTCCTGGATCATGTCCTGCATCTGCACATGCTACGAGTTGGTCAGATCCCAGCTCTGACACTTACGACACACTCCACAAGGGCACAGGCCTCATTGGCGGCATTCCTGGCCCAAGTCCTGATCCAAGAAATCTGCAGGGCAGCAACATATATACATACATTCACCTCTCATTACCCCATTGTTCAGCATGCTAGAGATGATGCAGCTTTTGGCAGAGCAGTGCTTCAGTCGCACTTCCATAACTCCGACCCCACCGCCTAGGTAAGGCTTGGGTGTCACAAATTGGAATCAATATGAGCAATCACTCGAAGAAGAAAGAACGGTTACTCACCTTCTCATAACTGTTCTTTGAGATGTGTTGCTCATATCCATTCCAAACCCACCCAGCTTCCCCTCAGTTGGAGTAAGAAGGAACTGAGGAGGCGCTGGGTCGGCAGGATCATATATAGAGCACTAGAGAGGCGCTGCTCCAGGGGGCTCCACAGCCAACCTGACAGGTGCTGCTAGAGGAAAAACTTTCCAACGACTATGCACGCGGTGCGCACACACCTAATTGGAATGGATATGAGCAACACATCTCGAAGAACAACAGTTACGAGAAGGTGAGTAACCGTTCTTTATCATGTACTTATGAAAACTTGCCTAGGAAAATCCTCCAGACTTGTTATTTCACTAGCATAGACTGTGGGCTGGCCTAATGATCAATAGCGTCTGACCAGTCTGCTGCTCCATCACAGTGAATTTTCTCTGTCCAAACGAAGTGCCACTTGAGGGCTGCAGGCTCTGATCATAAATGTTTCTCTTTCAGTTTACGATTTCACAGTTGTTATTGCAAGCAAAAGAACTAGAAACTCATACATTCTTTTAAAATTAAAACGGAGATTAAATGATATTTTAGGGCCCTGAAATTGGAGATAGAGTGGAAACTGTGCACTTTGCAGACTCCTAAATGCCTGTTCAGCTCTCCCATTCATGTTTATGTAGTCTCTTCCCTGGAGTCATGCTATTGTGATGAGCTAACCACACTCTCATCCTGCATTGTTTTAACAAAAAACTTCTAAAGAATGTGTAGCATTTACCGTCAAAACTGAACCCTCCCAGCACTGCAGTATTATCCCCATTTTTACAGAAGGAAAAGCGGAGGAGGAAAGGTGAAGTGGCTGCAGCAGGAGTCCGTGCTAGAGAGACTCAGGCTATTCAGTTCACACTTTCCCAGTTCTGTGCTCATGCATGCTATTTAGATAATCCCTTTCCTGCTTAGGGTAATTATCTATTTAAAATACTAGTCTCTAAAAATAGCTTTCGCAGAATAAATTCTCAGTCTCTGTTACCCTTAGGTGCTCAGATAATATTGTAATGAGGACTGCCTAAGCACCTAGATAGATACTCTGCTGCATTTCAGAGTTAAAATAAGTCTCTTCAGTGTAACTATATTATCCTTAGTTTAAAAGATAAATATGCCACCATGGTCTGACAAAATATTCCTCCTTGTCAATATTGCATGGCTCACCACCTGGAAGCTGATAGACTGGTGATATCTTTTTAATATTTTCCCTCATAATGAAGGATTTGAGTGTTGCCAATTCTCACGATGTTTGCCATTTTTCTGAAATGTCCAGCTCCAAGACATATGTAATTACATGAAAATCTCAGCTTTCATTTAAAAAAAATAGATTTCTAGCCCTCCTGGTTGTGGAGAAAAGCTTGAGAACATGAACCCTAAAGGCTCCAGCACCAAGAGGCAAATACAAAGATCCAAAATTAATTATTAAAAAAACCCCTCATGATTTTTAAGCCAATCTCATGATTTTGGAGGGCCTGACTCATAATTTGTGAACCTCTGGGGTTGGCATTACTGGATTTCTCCCCAAAATGCACAATGGTTGAATATTTTTCTGAAACAAATAGCTCTGAAAGGCTCTGGCAGAGAAAACTATACAAAATGAAGGGCCTGACAACAACAGGGAAAGCTATGGAACTGAAGGAAGGGTATCAAGCCTGTGTGATTCTAACCCCTTCTTGCTGTTCTCACGCTAAATACTATAGTTTCCCCAAGTATTCTGGACAGGCACATGAATGTCCAAATCAGGCATGTGCATATGTGGTGGTCAAAAAAGCAAACAAAATCTTAGAATGTATAAAGGAATGGAGCAGAAAATACAGTAACTCCTCACTTAACGTTGTAGTTACGTTCCTGAAAAATGTGACTTTAAGCGAAACGATGTCAAGTGAATCCAATTTCCCCATAAGAATTAATGTAAATGAGGGGGTTAGGTTCCAGGGAATTTTTTTTTCACCAGACAAAAGACTATATTATATAAATACACAGACACAGTATAAGTTTTAAACAAACAATTTAATACTGGTACACAGTGATGATGATTGTGAAGTTTGGTTGAGGTGGAGGAGACAGAGGGTGGGATATTTTCCAGGGAATGCCTTACTGCTAAATGATGAACTAGCAATTGGCTGAGCCCTCAAGGGTTAACTCTCACACTCTACAAGGCAGCAGGAATGGAGGGAGGGGAGAGAGCATCGCAGACAGTGTGTGTGTTTGTGTGTGTGTGTGTGAGAAAGAGATGTGCATTTCCCCTTTAAGTACACTGCCTTGTTAATTAGATCAGCTTGCTGAGACCAGAGCTGCTGCTGCCAGCAAGCTACCTCTATCCTGAGCCCTGTCATGTGTCCCCCCTGCTCTATGGAAGATGGGGTAAGCAGGGTGCAGGAGCAGGGGGGAGGGGGACACCCTGACATTAGCCCCCCTCTTCTTCCCCCCTTCTCCCCCCCCCGCACAGCTAGCAGGAGGGGAGCAGCTCCAAGACAGAGGGCAGGAGCAGCACATGGCAGTGGGGGGAGGGACAGCTGCAATTGCTAGCCTGCTGGGCAGCTGCTGCACAGGGAACTTAGGGGAGCGGGGAGCTGATTGATAGGGGGGCTGGTTCCAAGCCCCCACCAGCTAGCTGCAACGGGCTGCTCTTCCTGCAAGCAGTGGACAAAGCAGGCGGCTACCAAACATTAGAAGGGAGCATTGCACAACTTTAAACGAGCATGTTCCCTAATTGATCAGCAATGTAACAACGAAACAATGTTAACTGGGACGACTTTAAGTGAGGAGTTACTGTAGTGAGACTATTATAACGCCATTACATAAGTCAATGGTATGCCCTCACCTGGAATTCTGTGTTCAGTTCTGGTCATCCTTTTCTTTCTATCTATCTCCTGATTATTTTACAAAGAATATGCATAAAGTTCTGTTTCTCTCAGTGCAGTAGAAACAAACACCAGGCCTTTTCCTTGCTCACAATTTCTAAGCCTGACTTTCCAGCCAGTCCTGTGACTCAAGGAGCTCTGTCTCTCGGCTTTCTCTCAGGATGGGGTTGCCAGTTTTGGTTGGATGTATTCCTGGAGGTTTCATCACATAACATACTCTTTAATTAAAGATTAATCTTTAATTCCTGGAGACTCCAGGACGATCCTGGAGGGTTGGCAACCCTATCTCAGGGCCTTGCTCAAGACTGCTTCTCTCATCTGCTGGCTTTCTGGACTTTTCCTCCAATACACACAGTTTGCCAAACAATCACATAGGTCCTGCATTTGCATCCAATCCCAGGGAAACTTTTCAACCCATATGCTTTGTCCCTGCTCAGGCTTTGCCATGAGGCCCATATTGAACAGTAGCTTCTATTGTCTCCAGTTATTTCACTCCATAAAGGGACTCCTTTCATTTAACCTGAAAAAGGGGTTGTTAACACACCCATCAACCTTAGAAGGTCTCTGGTTATCTGTAGATCTAGGACCTGCTAGATGGAAGCCATTAACACTTTCTAGCATAGCACGGGGCAAGATTTCTGTTGGAGAGATTGAAAAGACTGGGACAGTTTAGGGCCAGGTGTTCACTAGTAGTGCTTTACCAATAAAGCTGTAACTGGCATACTGTACTGCAAAGTGTTCCTAACTGTGTTTTTGCCAGTATAGCTTATACCTTCTCTGTCTGCCCACCCTGAATGAAACAAGCTATAACTGTGCTTTTTGCAGTCAGCGATCTCACCTCATCGCATCTCTGACTGACTCTGGTTTCTCTTCAGATCATATAAATCTTTTGCCTGCTGAAGTTTGTAGTATAAAAGAGGATTTGATAGAGATGTTGGTGGTGGGGAAATGGAATGAAATAGAGAAGGTAAATCGTGACTTCCTACTTATCCTTTCTCAATAACATTAGGATCCATGGATGTCAGGAGGTATAGATGGATCTCAACTGTTTTCATAGAACGTGCCATGAGTTCTGAGCAGTGGAAGTTGGCTAGTTCAGTGAGAGACCCATTTCGTATTACCAGTTTATGAGTTAGTGAATAATAAGCATGATGACATCAATCCATCAGTACCTCACCTGAGCAACTATATGAGGTAAGGAAGTAGTTCTGTTTTACATATGGCACGCTGAAATCACAGTGAGATCATGTCTGGTCCAAAGAGAGTCTGTGACAGAGCCAGGAATGGAACCTAGATTGCATGAGTCCCAGCCCAGTACCTTAACCACAAGATGATCAAGCCTGCTCCTTTAATTTTTTTCTCTCTTCTGCAGTCCTCCCAACTCTCTCTTCTTTACATTCTCTTCTGTTTTTTTTTCTTCCAGCTTGAAGATCATGTCCTGTCTGTGCTTTGACTTTCTCCACAATCAGGCAGCATTTCCTTGTATTATTCTAGTGTCATCACTGATGTGAGAAGTCTGTGGTAGCACCAGCTGGGAGCCACTGCATCTGTTATGAGCTTGCTGGGTTTATTGGTATGAATTTTTCTATCTGAAGATTAGCCCAGTACAAGATAGCCAGGTTTGTGTGTAACTTTCAGTTGACCTTGACTTTGCAAGTGTACTGAGACTTCTATTCCAGATAGATAAAGTGCAGAATATTATAACCATCGCTTATCATCTGCAATGTCTGTTGTGATAGCTCAGGAGATAAAATCATCTGAACTCAAAAACATCTATATGTAAATAACACCAGTTGTTTGTTCGCCAATGTTTTAATCTCTTCATGTTTTCATACAATTATGAATTAGCGTTAGAATAACAATAATTATTGACAGGGATCTCTGGAGAAAACTCACTGATCGTTTTATCCCTCTAATAAATTACCAAGTACCCAGTACGTGCTGATGTTATCCAGTGAAACAAAGTGTACAGTGTAATAGGTTCTGTTGGTTTGGGGAGTCTTTCTGTTTTAGAAATCGATTGATAAAATACAGTGCATTGCAGCAATACCATCTGTATACTTTGGGTTTTGTCACTCTGCCTCAATCTGGAAGAGTGCCCTTGCATTTCTACATGTCTTCAGCTTTCAGTGCAATAGTTCTAGTCTCGATCTTAATTGTTATATTCACTGTGTGCATTGGGACATGCTCATGGAAATTTCCCCCCACAGTCCCAGAAGTGGGGAGGCTTCATCTGGCCAGAAGCAGAAGAAAAACCTTTGGCCCGTCTAAGGATTGCACCCTTTGCTCCTCTCCTGGTGGATACTCAGCCTCCTCTTGGATTTGAGGAGGGGAGAAGGGGGCTCTGGCACCTGCAGGCACCTTCTATGTCTGAAAGACAACCATGCCCACCCTCCACCTCCCCTTTGGCATTAGAGTGAGGGGGACATGGGGCCTTGCTGGGGGCATCATGTTAGTTGCCTTTTTGAAGCTGAGAAGGAATTTTTCCCTCCGCCAGACTGGCCTGGGCATTGTGGGTTTTTTGCTTTCCTCTCAGCAGCCCAGGGACCTGGTGGGTAGATTAGGTTTTTGTCACAGCTTGGCAGGTGCCCAGTTCAGATGATGGTTCCATAGTGGCCCAGCTCCCTGACCTTGGATTAGGAGAGGACAGCTCATAATGGAGGTGGGGAATGGTGTGAGGATCCTAATATCTGGTACAGTGATGTGGGTGGGGGTGAGGAGACAACCCCCTCAACTCTTGTATAAGGGGAGGGCTGTGGGGTTCACATTGAAAGTACTGGTTTAGCAGCTGGAATGGTGAAATGGATTACCAAGGAAGGATGATGTGCACTGGATGAATTTTTGTGGGATAGTTCCCAGATGTGCTACTTAATACATTTGCAGCCTAATTAAACCACATTTCTGGAGTCTTTTTCTTTCGGTGGTATCTGGGACCAAAGCAAACTTGGTTTGTGATTATGTGTGAAGTGAACATTGCTGAAGATAATTTCTTAAGTGCAAGTATCTTAATTGATTGTTAGTCTTATTCCTAATATAATCTCTTAGATTTAAATTATTTGAAGAGGTGTAAGCGTCCCTTTCCTTGGGATATAAGAGAGAAGGTTTGTGTAAAGTGAACTCAAACGATCCACAATGAACTTTCATTTTGTGATAAAAATTGAAACAAAAGAAATATTGGGGCGGGGGAATGTTTCAAGGCACACATGGCAGTAAAATGCTCAGCTCCCAGTTATGTCTTTGGAAACCTACTTATTTTACATGAGATCAGCTAGGCCTGGTCCACACTTAAAATTTGGGTTGACGTAGCTAGAATGCTCAAGGGTGTGAAGAATCTGTAGCTATACTGATGTGACCCCTAGTGTAGGCGTAACAAGGTTGACAGAAGAATGCTTCCGTCAGCCTAGCTACCGTCACTTGGCGACAGGGGCGGATTAGGGTTTTGTGGGACCGTGGGCCAGAGTAAGTGGGGGCCCCTCCCCACCCCTTCCGCCTGCAGTTCCCCCCCCC